AGGAGACAAAGTAGAAAAACCAAAAACCTGATGAATATATATAATGTCAGGTAAGGATAAGTACTATGGAAAAAATAAAAAGAAAAGAGGTAAGGTAGAGTAACTGGAGGAAAGGTAAGTTTTATCAGATGGTCAACAAAAGCTACTCTAATGGCATGAGGTATGAAATATAAGCAAATATGGTTTCATAGCTATTTGTCAATGACTTAGACTGAAAACTTTGAAATTTTTCTTCATTTTCTGTAAACATACAGTTAATTGTGTGCCAGTTTTGTTAAAGTATCTACTGAAATGTTACCACTGACTTATACTCCCTGCTGACCATTGGGAAAGAATGAGGGGGTTTTCACTTTTTTGTTTTGTTTTTTCATAGAGGCACAATTTTTTAGTCTCTTAAAGATTAATTGCAACGTGGACTTGGAAACCATGTCAATGAACTCTACCTACTCTTTTAAATTAAAATCCACTTGTCTATCTTGCACTTTGAATGGGTCTTACATCTGTGCTTTGTTAACGTGCTTTTGTCATTTTGAAAATATCAGATCGATGATTTACTCAGATCTTCCAAACAGCTGACACATTTCATTGTACATATCAAAAGATCATATTTGTTGGTGTCATCATCAAGCCCATCAAAAAATCTTCAAGTATTGGGAAGCTAACAAGTTCATGAGGTAACAACAATTTCTCCAAAATTTTAATTTTGACTTAAAAGTTCAAAATTTATCATTGATAGCAAATACTGTCTGTTGTTTGCCTTAACATGGCAAGTTCAGATAAGTTCACTTCCTTCATCTTTGAGAAAATGGTCTGTCAAATCCCTAGGCACAGTATTCAGTTTCTAACCACTTTTTCAAGTTAAAAAATAGTATTTCTCAAAAAAAAAAAAAAAAAAAAAAACCCAAGCCAGTTCAGCTTGCAACTCAAAGACACCAGTGATTTTCCTTGAAAGAAATATATTACAGCCTGCAGCTGAGTATTTTGGGCAGACTTCCCATTTTGACACACAGAATACTAAAATATATTTACATAGGGTCCAAATTTAATAAAATTAATCATTGTTAGTGCTTCATCAAAGATTAAGAACATTCTGAAATAAAAGTGACATTGTTTTTACTGTAAGATATTTACTGTTTCATGAAGGATCAAAGACATTCATAAATAAAAACCGAAATATTTTTACTGCAAGATACGGCAGTAAAACTATAGTAACTCCTAGCACAGTTTGGTGCCAGCCCCTTCATTTGTGCTAAAGCACCAGAAGCTTTACCCACCATTGTTTTTTCGACATCAGGGCAAGGGTTGACACAATGAAAAAGGCAAATTTCTTATGATTATGAAAGCAGTTCTGACCTTGTGATTTCCGTGAAAGGATCCTGCTAGAGTAATACTACTCAAGCGTAATATTTTTGTGTCGCCTCTTACTAAAAAGATTCCAATGGTCAAATTTTTCAGCTGGAAATTGAAACTTTATATTATCTTACATTATTTGTCACTTCATATGCTTCTTCATGCAAACTGGCTGTAGACAAATGAAGCTGTTCCCATTGCTGTTAAAAAACTTGGGAGTTTTCAGTTTCTTTCAAATGATTTTGCTGCTTCTTTTACCTGAAGTGCTTCACCTTCTTTTGCTTACTTTATATGCAGGTCCTGCCTTGTTTTCAAGGTCCAGCTCAAATGAAGCTTAGGTAGATATCACAGAACCCTGCCCTAAATGTCCATAGCACTTTCTGCCTCACCCATGCCACTTACACTTTACTTGGCAATAATCTCTCACGTTCCTTGAAGCCTAGCAGGACGTGTTACATATAGTTAGTGCTCAATAAATAACTTTTTGAAAAAACAAGCATTTGGTTGTACTGAGACATTTATTTACGTGTTTTGGTGTAGCTACCATATGAGATTGTTGACTAAAGTTAGGGTTAGTGTCTGCTCCCTGAATAAATTAGTTTTCATTGGGAAGCTTATTGTGATATAAGGTAATTCAGCTCACAATCTTGATCCCATCAGCCAGGCTGTTCTCTTTAACATTCTCAGACTTTTAAAAAGATCTACCAACCAAAAGCATAAAGATGTTAAAACATTTTGAATTGTGTAAAAGAGTATTGATTTTTAAAAATTATATTTGAGAGTTTATTGAGACAATATTACCACTTAATTATTATCCTTAAACAACCAGTATATTACTCAGAATAAAGAAGTTTCCCCTAACTGTGGCCTCTTACTGTTTTCCTTCTGCTTTCAAACTTAGTATTTTTTGAAACATGATGAAGTAGTATAGTATGATTATGAAATACACATACCTAAACTAATGTTGATGACTGCTTGAAGCAAGAGCAAGTTACATATACCATCTATAAACTGCATTAGCAACTAAATAAAGCTTGTCTCTGAAGGAATTTCATAAAGCTAGTTTCTTTTCCCAGAATGTCTTGAGAAAAATTTTGAATATAAAAAAGAAATGAAGTATTAGGTCATTTTTCTATTCATCTGTCTAAATTGGAACTCAATCTCATATATTTTGTCTTCAGTGATTATAGGTACCGAAGACTGAGAAACATGTTTTATCTGGCAGTAGATAGAATCGGTGCCTATTTTACTATCCTTCAATCATTGAGAAATGTATGTCTTTCTCTCTTGGTAAAATGGTATTTATAATGGACATATTAAAGGACTTATGAATAAAAGTGAAAGCTTTCTATTATTACCAATCAAATCATCATTAATTGCAGGGTTCAATGAAATATATTCTAGTATAAGGAAGTATCAAGTCCCTGCTGTGCTAAATCCAACAGCCAGGGGACAGTTCTTCAGGTTCCCACATCTGTTCTGGAATATAAATTCACATGGAGACGCACAGCTCCTTCCATTTCAATGACTTCACAAACTCTACCAAATAGTGCTTGCTCCATAATGAGCCATCACGCTGATGATACTTCGGCTAAAAACTTCAGCAACAGAATCCCACGAAGTCTAGAGAGATCTGGTCACTGATGCCCCTGCTATTACCATCTCCACTGCCTATGCAGTGGATGTTGGGAGGTCAACTGCGGTAGAGCATCTGGCTCCAGTCACTACCATCTTAGCTGGATCAGATTTCACTCTATCTGAAAGAGTTTTTCTCAGGCTTTGGGGAGGGTGGAGGGTGATCAGTTCCTTTCCTTACTCAATGTTCTATTCAGCTTAATCTGCTCCATGCCAGTTGTTTCCAGGCATTCACACAGCCTCTTCCCTACAATATAAACTTGTTTCCAGGAGAATTTGTTTGGGGCAAGCTCTTTCGCCCAGGCTGGAGTGCAACAGTCCCATCTTGGCACACTGCAACCTCCGCTTCCTGGGTTCAAGTGATTCTCCTACCTCAATCTCCCGAGTAGCTGGGATTACAGGTGCACGCCACCACACCTGGCTAATTTTTACATTTTTTAGTAGAGACGGAGATGGGGTTTCATCATGTTGGTCAGGCTGGTCTCGAACTCCTGACCTCACGTGATCAGCCCACCTCGGCCTTCCAAAATGCTGTGATTACAAGCATGGGCCATTGTGCCCAGCCGCTTTTAACAAACTCATCATTTGACTTGGTTCAGAGGCCACACCATGTCTCCTCTCTCTTTCTACCTCCATGGTGGTTCTTCATCAAGAGACTCATTGATCAAAGTAACAACAATTCTGCCTCACAGGTCCCATTCACCTGCGACTCTTTTGCTGTCACAGCCTTTAAGCATACATTCAATAGCTTCTCACTCAGAGGGAAGAAAAAGATAAAATTCTGCTGTTCTTAGATACATGCCTTATAGAATTATGAAATTTTAGTTTACTAAAGGATGCTGACCTATTAAAAAATCCGTTAATCAATCCTATCCCGAATTCACGGATATTATGTGCTTGAGTTTCCACCTCCACAAACTATCCAGTTTAATGATTAAATCAAGGAAGATGTGGTAGTACTTTTCCCCCACAGATGTTAAAGTTTAAGTCATTTTTTTTACCCCAAGTTGTTATTTATTTTCACGAGGGGGGGAAAAGAATCCTTTATGACGGTGAAAATATACTTTTAAAAAATACAATAGCTTCCAGCAACATGCTGTTGCTGCTGTTATAAAGAGAAAATAAAATACATGCATTCTATAATGTTTTCATTTGTCTATTCAAGAAATTCCAAATAAAATACTTCGATTCTATTAAATATTACAGCTTGAGGAGTTGAAATTTTTTCATGATAAAAATGTAATTTGTGTGGTCCAAACCTTGACTATTTATAAAGGATGGAGTTTTTAAAAGCTTGTATATATCAATAATGAATGCTCCCCTATCTTTGAATTAAACACTTAATTCAAATAAATGTAAAAAATTGGTGAATAAATTAATAATGAAATATGTATCAAAATCTTTATGAAAAAATAAATTTCTATTTCTTTTCCATTTTTATCTTGTAGATTTTCTAAATGGGTTTAAGTCCACAAAAATAAGTACTATCTACCTGTAACTCTGAAGAGATTCAAAACACAACAGTTAACATGCCTAAATCCTTGAGCAATCGGTATACAATTAAGAGATTCCTGACATTTATTCTTAAGCTAAGTTTAAGTCATTTTCTAAACAGTGTCAGTTTCAGTTTTTGTTGAGAGAGTCCTGAATAGTTTGAAAGAAAGTGAGAAGAAACTGGATGGAATGAAACCAAAATGAACATTACAAAACTAATCCAGTAGCTAGCCGTCCCAAGGAAAGAATGTATATACCTGTCCCTTCAAGTTTCTACATGCCATGATATACTTTTAATGAGCCCACCTTGTTTTCTTACATTATTTTGTGGGAGTTCCACATGAATAGACTTCAATAGACATTTATGAAATGGAATCTGGCAATGAGTAGCTTCACCAATAGAGTTACTGTAAGATGGCACTGTTTGGTCTTTTCATCCTACGTGATGATACAAGTAATTTGTATTTCTTTTCTTTGAATGTGCTTTTTAGACTATTAACATTTTATTATGTTTTGCCTAGTTGGGTACACAATGAATGATCTCATTTTTGAATGGCAAGATGAGGCACCCGTACAAGTGGCAGAAGGACTCACTTTGCCCCAGTTTCTGTTGAAAGAAGAAAAAGATTTACGATACTGCACTAAACATTACAATACAGGTAGGGGTTAAGTAGTGTTCTTTACACTTACTACTTGTGGTTTGATGATATCCAGATGTTTCTTCATTATAATGCTGTGCTAACTATTCATAGATCAATGTTTTTCATAGGCAGATAGCAGAAAATGGATGCATTTGAAACTTCTGAATACTTTGATTCATTGCATATTGTTAAAAAAGTCATCTGTATGAGACCAAAATCATGCTTGGTCTTTATTTTTATTAAAAATAAAAATCATATTTAAATAATTTTTTATGAAACACTCATAAGTACATAGCAATAATGTTTCCAAAACCATTCCTTTAATTTCTGTGAGCAATGAAATGTGTTTTTAACCCTTCTTGAGCAGTAAACACTGTGTTAAGAAAAATTTTTTAATTGCTTTTTTTTAAAAAAGAAGCTTCATTTGGCTAACTTTTCCCTTTGTCATGTTTTCGTGCATTTCAGCATATTTTTACCAAAGTGCCTATTATGCATACTAAGACACTTGACGTAAACATCAGATATAGTTATCAACACTAAGAATTGGGAGACTCAATGTGACATTCGTATATGACAAATTCTGTTCAATTGCTTTAACTAACATGGGCTATTCCATAAGATATAATCTAACTATACAGTCTATTTATCTGAATTCCATTAAATGCCCCATGATTGAGACATCACTCCATTGTGGTGTGTATATGCCCTCCTACAAGCATCAGCTGCTGTTCTTATCATTTCACTATAGTAACTGCGATTCATTGTGGACTCAGCATTTTCCAGAACTGTGCTCTGACCTTTCACTATACAAAGTCCCTAGTCTCTTATCTCCTTAGCAAATTCACAATATCTGATCAAAAAGTCACTGCCATTTTCCTTTTAACTCAGAGACAAAGCTCATATCTAACTTATTAGGGAGCTCAAGTTTAACATGTCAACACAAAGATAAAGGGCAGGCAAGTCAATAGCAGTGTCCTTGCCCAGTTCCCTTAGAGAGATGCTAAAAATCCCCTAGAGTTGTCTTAGGGAGGTACATTAGTTTCCTGGGGCTGCCATAATAACCTATCACAAACCGTGACTTAAAACAACAGAAATGTGTTCTCTCCACAGTTCAGAATCAGGTGTCAGCAGGAACATACTTTTCCTCAAGGCTATAGGGAAGAGTTTTCCCCTGTTTCTTCCTGACTACCTATTTCTGGAAAACCTTGTTCTCAGCTTGCAGTTCTATCATTTCAGTCTCTGAAATTTCAGAGTCACATGGGATTTCCCTGTGTGTGTGTTTTTCTGTGTCCAAATCTCCCTCTTTCTATAAGGACATCAGTAATGTTGGATTTGGGACCCCCTCTTATCCAGTACAATTTCATTTTTAACTTAATTGTATCTGCAAATACCTTATTTTCAAGTCAGGTTACATTCACAAGTTCTGGGTGGACATGAATTTTAGGGAGATATCATTTAACGCAGAGCAGGAGGTGAAGTTGTAAACATCAATTAGGGATGAATTTTTATGGTAGAGAGTCTCAAGACACTTCCTTAAAGTAAGTTTGCCTACTCCCTTGAGTTATTAAATGAGCGATTACAGCATAAAGGAAAAGAACTTACATTATGAATGCCTACTCTAAGCAAGGAATGGGACAGATGATCTCTTTCTTGGATGATATCACAGAGATGTCACAACTTTACATTCTAGAAGCACTGTACTGTCCAGAAGCAGAATAATGTGCCCAAAATATATAGAGAATAAAAGCATCTAATAGAGTCCTCATTCAAGTACGTGGTTAATTTGCTTCAGGTCCCAGCCTCCATTTCAATTTGCTTTTACAATGCACAAGAATATCCTCTTTTAATTGTTTTCCAAAAATGGGCCCAGATACCACATATGTCTCTTATGTTACTTGTGCAAATATAGCAAACAAATAACAATAGTAGTTTACCTAAGAACCACATTTATAAATACCCTTTCCTCCCATAAATGAAGTATACTTAAGTTAAAAATGTGTTCATACACAATTTAATTTCACCAAATTAGAGGATTTCTTCAGTTTTATATTCACTATCGCAAAGTAAGTATTTGTTATATGCTACAGCACCCTATAATCTGTTTCCTGCTAATAATTTCTCCAAAATCTTTTACCCGTCTTCCCCTTGCTCCATAATCCCTTCCACAGTGACTTGCTTGCTCATATTCACCAAGCTCATCTCTGTCTCGGCCTTTGCCCTTGCTCTTCCTTCTGCATATAAAGCTCTTCCCCAGATTGTTCCAAGCCTAATGCTCCCACATCCTTCAGGGTTACTCAAATGCCGACTCTTGAAACATCCATGTTTGTTAAACACCCAAATCCTGCTTTCACTTTCTGAAATTATATCATTCAATTTTAAATTTACTTATTTATTGCCTGTTTCCTTCGTTGTTCTAAGTTTGTATTATATTTATTCTATTGATTACTATGTTTCTGGGGTCCGCCGCTATGCAAAAGTGACAGATATTTGTCCATGTTTTTCTTTTTTCTCTTCAGATCCATATATACTGACTATATTTATTTATATTCAGACAATAGTGTATATTTGTGTTCATGTGTATATGCCCTAATTTTCTTTCCCAGAAATATTATAAAGCTTTTTAATTTGTATGGATACATAATAGCTGTACATATTTCTGGAGGTACATGTGAAATGTTGATACAAACATAAAATCTGAAATGATCAAACCTGGGTCATTGAGATATCTATCACCCCATATATTTATCAGTTTTTCGTGTTGGGAATATTCCAAATCTTTTCTTCTTTCTATTTTGAAATGTACAATAAATTGTTAGCTATAGTTCACCCCATTGTGCCACTGGACACGAGAACTTACTCATTCTGTCTCAGTGTACTTTAGGACCCACTCACCAACCGCTTCACCTGCCTTCTTCTCAACCTCTCGAAACCACTGTTCTCTTCACTACAACCATGAAGTCAATTATTTTGGGTCCCACATGTGATATTGTCTTTCTATGCCTGGCTTATTTCATCTAGTTCCATCCATGTTGCTGCAAATGATAGAACTTTATTCTTTTTTGTTTGAATAATATTTCATTGTGTATATACACTACAATTTCTTTATCCATTCTTCCACTGAGGGATACTTACTTAGGTAGGCTCCTTATCTTAGCTATTTTGAATAGGACTTCAACAAACATGCAATTAACAGGTATCTCTTTAATACACTGGTTTTCTTTCTTTTGGATATATACCCAGTAGTGGGATTGCTGGATCACATGGTAGCTTTATTTTTAGTTTTTAGAGAACTTCTATATTATTTTCTCCGGTAGCTGTACTAATCTATATTCCCACAAACGGTGTATGGGTGTTCCAATTTATCTGCTTCCTTATCAGCATTTGTTATTTTCTGTCTTTTGGCAATGGTTATTTTATTGGGGTGAGATAATATCTTATTGTGGTTTTGATTTGCATTTTTCTGATGATTAGTGATTTTGAGCTTTGAAAAACACTCTTTTTAAATAAAAACACAATGGAGCTTATCTTTTTACCTTGAGTATCACCTAAAATTTAGAGAACTTATACAAAGTATCTGAATGGTTAGTATTTGTCACTAATCATGCTATAAGATTACTTAGTGAGTTATTTACCTGACACTATAAATATGTTTCAGTTATTCTTGTTTTATTCCATTTCATTATTTTTCATAGAAAAACTTAAAACTTCATATTTAATAGCACTTTAAAATAGAAGTATTTTCATATATTTCAGGAATCTTTAGGCATTTTGTACATATTTGATAAATTGACAGAAGGATCATTTATGGTTTACACAAACGTTTCTGATTCCTATTCACTTAAGATTGGAATCCACTTCCCTGGAGTTTATGAACTTTTTTTGAGATTTAAACTCTGGAATCACATGCATGGATTCACCCAGATATAGCACCCTTGCGTCATCTATGCAACCTCACACAGCCCAAGTCACATTAATAGAAGTTTGCCCTGAGCCCTACCTAGCAATAGGATAGCATTTGCTCTGTAGCATCTTTCTTCCATGGTAAGTAACATAATGTTACTTAAAGAGCAGAATGTTAACTTTATTACCTCATACTTCTTAAAATAATTAGAATAAAAACAATTAAACCAAGAACTGAATGATTTAGAAAAAAATTTTTATAAAGGAGAGATAACATAGAGTAGTGTAAATCAATATCAGTAGAGTAGGAAGTAGAATCAGGACACACGCACAAATATAAACTTAATGTTGAATTAAACCATAACTTACTCCTCTATTTATTGCTTACTATAATAGAGGTAAATAATAGAGATACAAAAGCATAAGTATATAGTACAAATGGATCCCACTTGTTTTTAGTAAGTGTGATTTTAAGTTATTTTCAAAATTATTAATGGAAAATCACACATTTTCCTAATTGTTTGCATTATTATTCAGAGAACCATTCATCTTCAACTATATTTATCCTCTAGCACTTATTTTAAAGAAAATGGAAAGGCTTCTGGAACAAACAGCACCTGGCTCTAAAGAACCACTGAAAGCACCAGAAACAGCCAATGAGCAAAGAAGATCTTTATAAGTATCTATTTCCCCTGTCTGCCTCAGAAGCAACTGTCAGAATCAAGTGAAATAATAGATCTTCACTTGAAAGTGAAGCACTTTTCAAATGGGAAGTAATAAAATTTCCTTCTATTTCCTAAAAGAGTATACTCTCTTACTACATTGCTTCTAGATGCTAACAGGGAAAAAGTATTTTTCAGGAATTAATGTGAGTCTTTTTTCATTGTCGTGGAAAGTTTTATGACAGCATCTTTATCAAAATGAATTGTGAAGCTGGGAGCAGTGGCTCACGCCTGTAACCCTAGAACTTTGGGAGGCTGAGGTGGGCAGATTATCTGAGGTCAGGAGTTCAACACGAGCCTGGTCAACATGGTGAAACCATGTCTCTTAAAAAAAAAAAAATTAGCCGGGCTTGGTGGCACATGCCTGTAGTCCCAGCTACTCAGGAGGCTGAGGCAGGATAGCCTTTTGAACCCCGGAGGCACAGGCTGCAATGAGCTGAGATCACAACACTTCACTCCAGCCTGGGCGACAGAGTCTAAAAAAAAAAGAAAGAAAGAAAAGGAAAAGAAAAAAACAAATTGTGATATTTGATGCCATAACAAAGCCCTATTTTTACTAATTGCTATTTACCTTATCACCAATTAGGAAAGTTTACGTGTATAGAAGTGCGATTCCATCTGGAGCGACAAATGGGATACTATCTGATCCAGATGTACATTCCCAGTCTTCTGATTGTTATTCTATCCTGGGTTTCATTCTGGATCAACATGGATGCAGCCCCAGCCAGGGTAGCTCTGGGAATAACTACTGTGCTGACGATGACGACGCAGAGTTCAGGATCACGGGCTTCCTTGCCAAAGGTAAGTGTGCTGAATGAGCACGCACATCTTTGCACCCACACATGTAAATCTTGCAAAGATATCATTGTCAGCTTTGTTCAGATATTTTTCAATGGCATTTCAATAGCGTTACTGATTTTTAGAGTAATAAATAACTAAAGCAGAAAATCTGTAAAACAGAAATAAATGAAAAAATTCTAAAAACCAGTGATATCCACTATTCACATTTTGTTATGATTTCCAATTATTTAATAATCAACAATATTCATACACTATGGATGTCTTTGAATCAATAGGTTTTGAACACATGGACATAGGGAGGAGAGCATCACACACTGGGGTCTGTTGTGGGGGCTAGAGGAGGAACAGTGGGCAGTAGGGAGGTTGAGGAGGGATAACATGGGGAGAAATGCCAGATATAGGTGATGGGGGATGGAGGCAGCAAACCACCTTGCCAGGTATGTACCTATGCAACGATCCTGCATGACCTGCACATGTACCCCAGAACCTAAAGTGCAATAAAAAAATTAGAAATATATTAAATATTTAAGTTGAATCTACATGATAATTTTAAATGGTGGCACAGTACTTCATTGTATGGATATGCCATAATTTATTTAGTCACTCTTAGGACTGATACTATAATAAATATTTATATAATAAATGTCACATATATGAGTATATGTGTATATATACATATGTGTGCCTATGTCTTTACATATCACACATGTCACCTATATACATATATATTTATATATGTATACTTTATGTAAATGCACCTATGTAGACACGAACACCAAACACACACACACATATATAGCTTTGCACATATTTTGTGTTATGCTCTTAGCATACATTCTTATAAACAGAATTGCTGCACTGATAGCTGTATGCATTGATATATATTGCCAACATTTTTTCAGAAACAATATACCAATTATATTACAAGTATTGTATCAGAATACCCACAGTGCTGCACCCTGAGCCAAATATGGTATACATCAGTTTTGTGGGGATTTTTTTCTCCCCTTTGCTTTTAAGTAGCCATAAGTCAATGGGAGGGAGGCCTTATCTAATTCCATGATTTTCATCTATGCTGAGCTGCCAGGATTAAAATAGAATTGTTTCTTCTTTGAGTCCTGTAAAAGACCCAATATTGCTTTGCATAAGATATCTTGAAATAAAACTCTTTTCATTTATTTAGCTGCTTAGAAATAGAAAATTATTTTCTTCCCCTAAAATGACATGAGAGACATTTCTATCATCGAAATTAAGTAATTCTGTGGAAGCTTTACAATTATTTTCATTGAATGATGTACCTCGATGTAATAAAATCATATTAGCTTTCTTCATGCGTTGGATGCTATCTTCGTGCCACAGCAAGTAAATTATAACCTATTGTCATGGCTCCCTTAGTCATTTCTACTAATTCAGTCTATGATTCAATTTATTAGATTAAGATGCCTGTATAAATAAAAATTGAAAATAGAAATTTGATCATTAAAAATATTTAATATAGGAGGAACTTGAGATTAACATGCACTGCCTTACTAAAATTTAACGGTTATCTTTCAAAATAATGTCTATTTATATTAACAATTTATTGTATTTTCAAAATGGTTCGTATCAGCTAGTGTTTTCTAAAATATTGTTCATGCGAAAATTATAAACCTGTTTATAAATTCAAACTAATAAGTCTCAATGCTTATTTACATAAGGATAAATGTCATGAGAGCTCTGTGTAATAGTGGAAATTTCTTGTTAATTTGTAAAAGAAATCGTCATGGTGTATATATGCCACATTCCTCTCATGGACACAGGGAGGGGAACATCACATCCTGGGACCTGTTGTGGGGTGAGAGAGCTAGGGGAGGGATAGCAGCGGGCGGGGGATTGGGGAGGGATAACATCAGGAGACATATCTAATGTAGATGACAGGAGGATGGATGTGGCAAACCACCATGGCACGTGTATACCTGTGTAACAATCCTGCGCCATCTGCACATGTGCCCCAGAACTTAAAGTATAATTAAAAAAAAAAGAAAATAAATCACCAGTTTACTCAATGATCATCATGAGCTAAACAGAAATGAAAGCTCATTTGTCTATATGCTGAAAGTCAGAAAAAGGACAATCTATGACTTCTACCGGGCACAGTAGAAAGGCATTTAGATACAGAGAGTAACAAAGAATTCGGGTTGCATGGAAGTGCGAGCGGAGGAAGCAGAGACAAAATGAGCAGTAAATTAAAAACAGAATGGGGGCACAACTTAACAAACAGGAACGTCTAGAACTGCTTCATACTTTTTTCTCAAGAAATAGGAGACATTTTAAAAAGGCGTTAGAAGTGTCTGTTCATATTCTCCACCCACTTTTTGATGGGATTGTTTGTTTTTTTTCTTGTCATATTGTTTAAGTTCTTTGTAGGTTCTGTATATCAGCCCTTTGTCGGGTAGATTGCAAAAACTTTTCCCATTCTGTTGGTTGCCATTCACTTTAATGATAGTTTCCTTTACTGTGCAGAAGCTCTTTAGTTTAATTAGATCCCATCTGCCTATTTTGGCTTTTGCTGCCATTGCTTTTGGTGTTTTAGTCATGAAGTCCTTGCCCATGCTTATGTCCTGAATGGTATTGCCTAGTTTTTAATTTATGCAGCCAACAAACATATGAAAAATAAGCTCATTATCACTGGCTATTAGAAAAATACAAATCAAAACCACGTTAAGATACCATCTCATACCAGTTAGAATGGCGATCATTAAAAAATAAGGAGACAACAGATGCTGGAGAAGATGTGGAGAAATAGGAACACTTTTACACTGTTCGTGAAAGTGTAAATTAGTTTAACCATTGTGGAAGAGAGTGTGGTGATTCCTCGAGGATCTAGAACCAGAAATACCATTTGACCTAGTAACCCCATTATGAGGTACATGTCAAAAGGATTATAAAATATTCTATTATACACATGCACATGTATGTTTATTGCTATTGCGGCACTGTTCACAATAGCAAAGACTTGGAACCAACCCAAATGCCCATTAATGATAGACTGGATAAAAAAAGGTGGCACATATGCAATGTAGCCACAAAAAAAGGATGAGTTCATGACCCTTGCAGGGACACGGATAAGGCTAGAAACGATCATTCTCAGCAAACTGACACAATAACAGAAAATCAAACACCACATGTTCTCACTCGCAAGTGAGTGTTGAAAAATGAGAACACACGGACACAGGGAGGGAAACATCACACACCGAGGCCTGTTGTGGAGTGGGGGGCTAGGGGAGGGATAACAGGTAGTGGGGTGATAGGGAAGGGATAGCATTAGAAGAAATATGTAATGTAGATAATGGGGTGGTGGATGTAGCAAACCACCATGGCACATGTGTATCTATGTAACAAACCTGCACGTTCTGCGCATGTACCCTGGAACTACTTCAAGTTCTGCAGTATATGTGCAGAACATGCAGGTTTGTTATGTTTGTATATATATATATATATATATATATATATATATATATGGCTTTAATTTCCACAAGACCTTAGAGGAAAAATAGGTTTTCAGTGGTGAGTTCAACTATACACATACATGTGTATAAAGCCTCTCCATCTCTCATCACAGAGACAATGACATCTAAAATGTGAAGACAGGTGTGACTCTGACCCACAAAAAGGTTGATTGACAAAGTGATGCCTTAAAAGAGGTTGACTGTATCATCTCAGAATTCAGGATAGGTCAGGAATAGGGAGATTAAGCATATTTAATTACACGCATTCAATTTTAGGAGGGCAGACCCTGAAGACCCAAGATAAACAACAAGAATTAATCTATTGGATAAGACCATTCAAAAGAGAAGAAAATCTCTTTAAACATTCAATTCTGATTCTGTGACTTTGGGTCCAGAGAGACAGGAGGTAAGGGCTTTATAACTTGCATTTAGGAACAGATATATGAGACCATGCACTTTAAGATCTGCTCTTCTCAACCTCACAAAGAACCCCCCGATGCCTGAAAGTCTTGCCACTGAAGCACCCACAATTCACATACTGACAGCTTCTAAAAAGCAGGAAAACAAAGTTACATTCAGGAAAATTGCTTAGCAAACATAGGAGGATGAAACAATAAATCATCAGTTTGTGGTCTTTGCCTAGTGTTTTGTCTAGGCTCTGTGTCAATGCATCTCTTGCAGGATAAGAACGAACTTAGAAATCAGTAAAGTAAGACTCAGAGAATGAAATCTCAAAGAATGGACTTTAGCCAGCTTCTTGAGAACCACATAGCTGAGATTCCTCTCTGATATTTTCTACTGCATTGGGTTCTACAATATCATGATAAATCAAGCATGCAGTCACTCAAGGCAAGAACACTCCTGTGATTCATTCCTTGATGCTTGGGACTCTTTTGCATTTTTGCAGTGTCTGTATCGGGTGGCCATAAGAAGGTGACATATGCATTCTATTTCCAGAAAATTTTCAGGGTTGTGTAACTTTAGGAGCACTTCCTTACACCATGTGCTTGGGGCAGAGTGAGAAAAATGGCAATGATCATGGTCTCATCAAGGAAGACTTCATAGACCTTGGTAATGATTTGCTTTAGTTTGGGTGCAGCAATGGACCACTGATGAATTTTAATAAGGGGAGTGATTACACTGACTTCTGTTTGAAGACCAGGTAGAAGAGTCAGAGTAGGAGCTAGGAGTCTACCAAGCAAGCTGTTATAGTCCACAGCAGATGATGGTCTGACAGAATTGGTAGCAACAGAGTTAGAGAGTAGCAGATGGTTTTAGAAATAAGTAAATGTTTTCAAAAAATATATATTTGGAGGTAAAAACAGAAAGGATTTGCTTATGACTTGAACATGGAAGATTCAGGGAAATGCAGGAGCCAATGGTGGCATTCGGGTAAGTAACTAGGCAAGTGGAGATGATCGTTATTAATAGGGAAGGTTGAGGGAAAGGTTAATTGTGGGGGTTCTTTTCTAAAACACGTTAACTCTGAGACATTTATAAGACAACCGCATG